GCGGCACTAAAGGACTTTGTCGCTTATAAACACCACCAAGAGCTAAACCGCGTATTTTAGGAAAAAAGACACCTAGCATTGGGGCACAAGGAGGAACAGCAGCAAAATCGGCAACAAGTCCGAGAAAGCCACCACCAAAAACAACACAAGAGATAATACAACAGACGTTGAATCGACGAGCTCTTGGTCCACATAAACTGTTGTCAACATTTGCATCGAAAAACCAGAAGAATGCCCGGGACAGAAGCAAGCCAAACACGCAACGCCTTCCAGCAAAATCAATACCACAAGGAAGAATAAGCCCCAAGAAAAAATCAAAAGCCGACCCCACAACAATCCAATTCGAATGTGACACATCGATTTCACTCTCATCGGATACCGATCTCGACCATAAAACCCCATCACCGAGTAAACAACCTGCAGCCAAAAGGATTGATCTAAAGGCCACACCGGAAACAAACTCACCGGAAATTCGGCGATCAACAAGAACAAGAAAGAGCACTCTAGCAGGAAAATTGGGAAACGCCATCCCAATTGGACACATCTCGACCAACACAGAAGCATCAATCACGGTAGCAACCATCGAGTACCCAAACACAGAGGATATTACAACAAATGAAGCGAGCATCTCCAATCTGATAGACAAATGCGACAACAAACAAACCACGGGGAACGAAGAGATTACGGCATACCTATCACCATCGTTAAAAACATCCGAAGAAATAGTATGCACAGAAGTCCACATGAGTAGCGATACGCCTGAAAACGCCCGAGAAACGGCTAAAACTGATACACCACCAAGAACCACAAGCTCGCGTTACATCCTGGACAAACCGAAAATCACAGAAGACTCCTTCAGTAAAGACTTTGAGGACGCTATGAATTTCCTGCAATCAATCAGCCGAATTAGATGAAATTCCATGACTTTTCAAAGAGAGAAAGAAGGAGAAACCCAGAAGTCCACAAAACAACAGTCACCAGACGTATCTAAAACAGATAACCAACAGTCAGCTGAGGCGAGAGGAAGAGGTAACGACAATTAGCAGGCGGAGGACCTAGAACAATCCTAAATTGAAAAACTCACTTTCTCAAAAGGCGGGAAATGTTATCCATACGGAAATCATAGCAAAACATCCTTTTATAAACAATGTAGAATTAGGTGCTAAAACTACCAGTTGGTAATGTTTACATACTATAAAACCTAACTGATTACATAATACATATAGAAGTCTGAGGATTAAATAAGTACCTATCTATACCTAACAACATATGTACTAGTTATTATGAAACGCTGTATCTCAAATGATTCGAGGTCAGCGTCTGCCAGACTTAAACATAGACAGATGAATTTAAGTTGTTATCTTACTCTTTCTATTTCTTATTTCTCAGTCAGCGCTCAGCATAGACTTTGATCAACTAACTTATACCTCACCTAACGGCTGAGGGATTCACACCAATTATGACAAATAGGCTTCTTTCAACCAATTTGGAACGATTTCTAAGATGGATTAACTCTCCGCTTACGCGTTAAAAGCGCGAAATATATCGCGCGTTAATTGTCCCAAATTGGCCAAAATGGCAATCTTTAAACCCACGTAACTTTACGAAAAATGATCACAGGTGAAATATTTTTTCAAATTTGAGCTCAGGACAACAATACCTTTCGAATGATAAAAAAAAGTTCCGTCAAAAATGGCTAGTTAAAAAGTCAAAATTTGTCTGAAGAAAAAAAAAACCCACCCCGAGCACAAATATTCCGTTACTTTCGTACCGAAAGTCGGAACAATAAACTGGTATCTGAGAATGTAGCACAAAATGTTTCGGATCAAGTTAAAATCCGGTTGCGGATCAAAAAATAAGGCTATAATAATTAAAATAACTCAAAATTTTTGACGAAAAATGATGGTATTTTACATATAATCTAATTATTTAAGTGTAGATTACAACGTCACGGCTTGACAAAAAAGCTAACTATACAGATCTCCTCCAAACTCCCATTGAAAAAAGCAAAGTTTCAGTGACCAGCTCGCCCCCCGAAGCGAAATTGAGCGTCTCGACTAAAACCACAGTTTCTACCGAAACAAACTCCCAGGTTGACCATCCTGGAAACACTTCAGTGTCTCAAAACTCCCTATGAATTTTTAAGAGGTGCTCTCATTCTTACAACTTTTCCAGAAAATTATTTATAAATTCTGATTGTGATGATGACGTTAAAATTTTCAGCGCTCACAGAGCTTTACAATTTGATCAAAAATTTTTGGTATATTTCCGGTGATTTCTACAAAACTGAAATAAAAAAAGGCAGTTAACTCAAATATCACATTTCATGGCCTAATTTAAATCATGATTTTGGCGAATAAGGTCAATGTTGTGTCAAATTTGGACATTTGAATATGAATCACCCTTTTGAATTATCAATCAATGCCGTTAGTGTTTTCCGTTTTGCAGTTGCCATTTCGACCATTAATCACAATTTTTTCAATTTCTAATGTTTTCCAGGTTTGTGTTGTATTGCAGGTGATACGAAGCTCTGCTCGTTGTGCATTATTGTTTTCAATAGAATATATTACATCCCTTTAACAATATCACCTATTTTTTGAGCCGGGAATCAATAAACAAGATACTTTTTATTTAATCTTTTTTCACGAGTTGATATCTAACTGAACATTTTGCTCGAGGGTTTCTTTTTCCCCAAAATTTGTCGGAATTTCCCAAATCTTTCGATGGGTAATGTTTCCTTGAGCTCAAAATGAAATGATCCTTTTACCTGTGATTATTTTTTGTAAACTTGTAGCGGTTTCAAGATTGCCAAATTGGGTTAACTAACCAGTAATACAATCGCTGCTATTAACGCGTAAGCCGAGATTTTTTCCCTATTGGAAAGCGTTCCAAATTGAATCGAGGCGTGTTTTTGGTGTTTAAAAATTTGCTATAAACAAAATATTTCAATTTTGGGTCTAGGACCAAATCCCCCAGTATATAATCCCCCAGGACAAAATCCCCTAGGGTAATATCCCCCAAGATAAAATGCCCTATAGGATGATTAAATCTGCCTAGGGCCAAATCCCCCATACTTTAACTTATCTTCCAGGGAATGTAAAAGTATATTTTTGAGGCATTTTGAATTGAGTTTTCATTTAAAGCAGCTTCAAAGTGACTTCCATATTAACAAAAGGCATGCATGCATCGCCATTTTGACGTGACTTTTTAGAAACTATATTTATCCAATTTTCCTTTGATTTTATACAAAAGAGCGCTTTTATCACGAAAAATAACAAGCCACGTGGCACAGTCAGTAAGTCAAACAAAATTAAGTTTAGTTGAGCCATTCGGCGTGAGATCGAACCTCAACTATGACATTTTGAACTAAAAGTGTTGAATTTACCCCCCACAGGACAAAATTCCCGTGCTTCCACTGAGATGGGGTTGCGGGATAGTGTGAAAGGAAGTTCCTGATTCCAAGAAAACCATCCTTTTTCAGAAATCAAATTTTGAGACCCCCAGGACCACGGATTTTTGAACTCAATTCTACGGTAACTTTCGGTTAATTTCTCGAAGATTAATACAGGAAAAAGCTCGAGCGAAAACATTAAGTTAACAATTGTGATATCCATTTGAGTAGACTCATTTTAATCTCCCATTTAGCGGGTACATTTGAGGATAAATTTGTCGGAAAGGAAAACCGGAACGCCTCGCTGAGGAAGGCCAGGTTTCACAAAGATATGTGGATTACATAATTCCGGACAATTGACGACATGCCAAGAATAAACAACGCTCTTGAAGGTTTTCACCGCGGTTTTGAGTTGATGCTTCAGATGTCAAGCTCAGATATCTAGAAATTCATCGAAGCCAATCAAAGACAGCAATCCTTGCCGGCCTTTACTTTGTCTCAGTTGCAGTTACTGTTAATTTTTCGTTTTACCTTAGTTCTTTTTTTGGTGTAGTTTTTTTAAATTTTATACTTTAATCTGAACTCCAAGTCACCAATTTATGGTCACCAAGTGTAATTTAGTTTTCCGGATTACGTTTTTGCTTAACGCTAATGTGGGGGATTTTAAATAAATACTCGGGGATTTTGTCCTAAGAGGATTTGGTCCTATGGGGTATTTAGTCCTGGGCGATTATATCCGGTAGAATTTTATCTAAGGGGGGGATTTTATCTTCGGGGATTTAGTCCGCGAGCGGTCAATTTTTTATTTTACTTAGCGTGTGATGTGATAATAAAAAAAAATTTCTTTCGTTTTTTTTAGAAAATTTATCCTTTTCTTAAATTAGATCTTGAAGTTCAATCGGAACATTCGATGCTTCGTCCTGATACAAGCATTATTGTACTATATACATTTTTCTGTGATAAGGTTAGACTTTTTGCAAAATTTTTAATAATTAAGTCTCTAAAAATTCTGGTTTGGAGATTCAAGTTTAATGTGGTTTGCTTTCTTGTTGATAGTTAAGTCAGCAAAAAGTTTCGAAAAAAAATTTGAGCGAGCAACTTTTTTTGCAACTGAAAATTCAAGTTATTAGAAGTACTGACATTAAATTTGAAAAATGACAAGTTTAGGTCAAATTTTTGTAGCAGTTACAGATTCATAAGCAATCAGAATAATTTTTTCTTTTTATAACGGTATTTTCATAAGTTGGCCTCACACATGCTCTACGCGTCAACAGAGCAGCAAAAACATCAATTTTCCGCTCCAATCCGAGCAAAATGACAAATTTAAATTGAAAAAATAATAAAATCCGTGTAGTTTTACGAAAAATGGTCGCAGGTGAAATATATATTTAATTTCAATTTTAAGATATATCAATACATTTGGGGAACCCATCTTGAGGAGTTTGACTCCCTCGGCACCCAAAAGGGTCCCTCTTTGTTGGTACCATTTCTGTTCTTGGCCAACGGATTTTAATTACCACACCGTGGTTGTTGCAAAATGTGGGGGGAATAAATGCATTGATGGAAGCTTTAATGGGATACGGTGCATGTAATAACGTTTGTAAACAACCTCATCGTCCTTCTTTTCCTCGCTCTTCTCCTTCTGCCCTTTTTTCAGTCTGTTTCTCTGCATCTTGTCTCGCATGTCCAGATAAGGCTGCAGTTCCAGAAGACTACTCCTCCATGTCTGGTACATGCTCGTGTCCCCCAGACCTCCTCGCTTCCCATCGGACAAGGCCGGTCTGGAAACAAACACTCCAATGGCCATGTATATATTGCTCGTTAACTACCCCCCCCCCCCTCCCTGCAAAAGGGTGATTCGGTACAATGTACAAATTTCACATATGGTTAACGTTGAATTAGTTCTTTATAGCTATAGGGGTGCTAACTCGTTTCTGGATAGGATAGGGGTGGGGGTATAGCTAACAAGATCCCAACACAGTGACAAAATATTTGTGCTCGGGACGGATTTTCTCCAGACAAATATCGACAGTTTAGAAGGCAATTTTTGACAGATTTTGTCTATAATCCAAACAGTATTGATGCTTAGAGCTCATATTTGAACTGACATTTTACCCATAATCATTTTTCATAAAGTTGTGGCGGTTTCAACATTACAATTTTAGCCAATTTGGGATATCTATCGCTCGATAATTTTCGTGCTGTTAACGAGTAACACGAAAAATAACCCGTCTTAGAAGAAGATTATTATGAAAATTTACTATACAAATCTGAGTTTTGAGGGAGAGCACCATTAAGTATTGCCCGTTTTCAGTTGTCTCATTAAACGGAGAATAAAAAACTAGTGAGCTTTTTAGATCCAATGGATTGTTGTGACAGCAAGTGGTTTTTAAACATACCCTCTTTTCAACCCTTTTAATTTTCAAAAAATCATTAATACAATTTTTTTTCTTTCGGGTAGTCTTTTTATCTATAAGCAAGAAAGCAACAGAAAAATTATGCATGTTCATCAAAAAAATTACAAATCAAGCCCAATAAAATTGTAATTTCTAGAATATAGTTTTCAAAAAATTTATGATTAAAACTGTTCAATTGAATCAGAATAGCCTCTTTCAAAAAGCGGACCCAGGTCGCAAAATGAAACAATATTGTTTTTTTTTAAGCCCTAGGTCTAATCGATCCCCTCTTGATTTTTGTTTATTAACTGCTAATTACAAATTGTGCTTTTGTATATATTGTTTATCTTGTGTTTAATTATCGCATATCTCAAAGGAAACATTTGGCACTCTTGTCGAATCACTTTCCCGGCTACTTTCAAAACTTTGCTGGCCAAAAATTTTCTCACAGTATGTTTTATTTTTATGCATTATTTCAGTTATTGGATCTTACGCTTATGAAGGAAGTATTCTACTTAGCCCTCTGATTTTTATTTCGAGTTTAAAAAAGATGGTTGCAAATAATTGTTGAAGGCAATTTTTAACTGCTGTCCTGATAAAACTTTTCGCAGTTCAAAAAACACTCTACAGAACTTCAAAACTTATGTTAACCAACATGCTGATGGAAACTCTCTTTGTTGTCGAGATGAATTCCAGGAAACTCAAAATTTTGTAAATCTTCAATTAGGGTGTCATTTAAAAAGATAACCGATTTTTCTTCAGCATTTTGGGCTCATGGTCTTGTTTTTCTTACATTTAGTGTCAATATGTTTTGTTTCAACAAATCGTTTGTTTAATTCTTGCAAAGCCATTTGATGTAAGGGAGCAGTATAGTCTTTTTGGTTGTGGACTTCAGAACAATCTCAACTGCATACAAAAAACCCTGTGTTAGCTGTCACTAACTGAAAATGCTGTAACTGACTGAACTGCTAATGTATGAAATTAAAAAGGCTTAGAGTAGGTCTCTGAGAGACTCTGAAGGATACCAGTTTAAGTTCAGTCGTCAAAGAGTTTGTCTCGATGTACTGATAACGAGTGTCAGGGTAATTTTTTTCAAAACTTTAGCACTGTTTTCTGGAAATTCAGTTTTCTTAGATAGTTAGAGTGATCAACCGTATCAAGATCGTTTTTGAGGGATAAAAGTTTATTCTAAACAGTTAGGTTTGTGTTCGTTTACGACGTTGAAACCTTTAATTAACATCGTAATGATGGTATCAACAGTGCGACTTCTTGATTTGGAACCATACTGTGTTTTAGAATGTAATAAATTTGTCTACATGTGATTACACTAGCTCTAAAATTAAACGTTCAAAAATTCATTTCTGGGAACTGGTAGAAACGAAATAGTCTCAATGTTTGATTCCTTGAAATTTGATTTAATTTTTAAAGTGTTTGGATAGGTTCTTGAGGTTAAACGATCATTGAAAATTTCTGTTAGAGAACCTGCTTGTATAATTACTAAATGTCGTTTTGTTTTTTACAGAACGTGTAGGGGATGGCTTTCAAAAAAACTAAATATATTTTTTGAAAGTTTCATGAATAGACATTAGGAGGTTTCGCTTTGTTACGAGCAGTCTCGTTTTTTCAAGCGCCTTTATAATGAAAAGTCCGTTCTGATTTGCAAAATTGGGCAAGCCTAACCATACACTGACTTAGTGAATCATACGCCTTCTCTCAAAAAAAATCTGGAGAAGTATGTTGAATAGAAAAATGTTCATAAATTGAAAGTATGTTCATATAGGGAGTCAAAAATTAGTAAAACCTTTTTTTAAAAATAATTAATGACCTCTGTGGAGTATAGAAGTCGAAAATTAAAAAAAAATGAAAAACAATTCAAAAGCTTTTTTAAATTGACTAGTGACCTCTGTGGCTTAGTGTTGAAGCCGGCACACTTTGTGCATAGCATGTATGGACCGACTCTCACTTGCTCCTCTTCAGTAACGTCATGATGTTCTTTAGATCCAGCCGCTCTCTCCTTCACCGCAAACTGCACTCGCTCCCACTCATCCCCATCTTGCAACACCTGAAATTAGGGGGGGGTACAATAAAAATTAGTCCTAGAATCCTTGAATAGATAATATCTTAGAATATACTTATTTAGTGTTTTTGTTGAATTACGAAAGTCAACGAATACCTTCAAGGAAATGACATATCTATATCTAGGATAAACTCTAATCTCACAAATCACTATAAAGACCCTTCTTTGAACATATTTTTTTCAAAACTACTGGCCAAAATGAATCGGTTTTTTTTTCGGCACGCGCTCACCCTCAAAATTATCATATATTGGTGCTCCGAATAGTGCCAAAGGTAGTCAGAGGACGAAATCCTGAAGTGGACAGAGGGGGATCCTCGCCTGCGACCCGAAATCCGCTACTGACTGAAGCCATGATCGTTTCAGCTCATCGGAAATAGCGAGTGATTCTTATGTAGAAAACTGATGAAAAAATTATGCATTTTTATCAGAGGGTCTTGGTGAATCTAAGAGTTTCAAAATGACCATTTTTTGAATTTTTTGCTTCGCGCAATGTTGAACTACTGACATTGGAATAGTACTTTCTCTAGTTCTTACTTATATTAGTTTTTCTGTGCGTCAAATTTTCTCCTCTAGCGCTGGTCTTATCACTTACGAATGTACTCAAACTTCATGCCAAATTTCCTGTCTGCATTGAGTATGGGCGCAAAAATTTTAGCCTCTGGCTGCGACTATTTGTTTTCCTGATTGGTGCCAGAGCATAATATTTTAGAATAACAGAAAAGAAGCAAATCATATTCTCCTTCACCTCTCTCATAGAATTTTTGGACACCTTGAATCTGTGATCGCTGCTGGAGTTAGCTGTAGCTGTATAAGTGAATGATGTGGTCTGGCGTTAAAGATGATCGTCCGCGAGATCGCTTTTATTATGCGATGTAATATCCTACGCGACTGACTTGAGATAAAACTAATTTGTAAATTCAAAGACTTCAATTTATCTGTTTTTTGTTAAACACTTTTCTCTAAGTCCTGCTGATATCAGCGTAGTTACTTGACAGATTGAGTTATTCAGATGCTAACCACTCCAGTTGCACTCCACTGAACTTGAGTAATGTTTTAATTTAATAAGACAAAGGTTTTACATACATAAATATATATCCCTCAAGGTTTCGTTACTGCTTGCAGTACCACATATTCCCTCGGGTGGAAATTTTTTTTGTACTCAAAGTAAAGAATTTTATAATCACAATAAGAGCTTATTCTCAGTTTCTAAGAGTTTGAAATTTCAATTGCAAATTTCTATTGTTTTCGCCCTCTTTATCCGTTAGCCCTCGTCTAGTTCGATTCTCCAATGTGGGTTCCGTGATACTCCTTCATCCGTCAACCTTGTTTAGCTTTCTCGCCTTCTGTGGTTTTCGAGGAGTTGAGCTCGACTGTCCAGTCTCCTCATTATCTTGTTCTGGCTCCTCCGGTACTGACTCGTTAGCTGCTGTTGCAGCTTTTTCTCCTCTGGCTTCCTGAATTGTTTTTTTTAGTTCCGGGTTTGTTTGTCCTGGTGCGTCTATAATCCACCCGATGTCTTTTGTCGCTGCATCTTTGAGCTCCTCGTTCCATCTAACGTTTGCTTCTAATAAAATTTTCAGTATTTTTGTTCGTTCCCTGCCTCGTGTTGTTGTAAGTTTTCTGAACATCGGGCTCTTGTCTCTGCTTGATTTTCCTTTTCTAACTATTTTCAGGCTCTCCTTGGTTTGATCACTTCTCTTTTTGAGCTGCGATGTTTGCAGAGCTGAGCATTCCAGATGTTTTTATGCATATGAGGTCACCACAGGTATCTTGATACTTTTAACAATTCTTCCTGTCTTGAGTGCCTTCCATGAATATTTTCATCAGGGCTGGGCCTAGTTGTATGGGTGCTGCGAGGAAAATGTCAACCAGTATGCAATCGTCTGATAAAGCCATCTTATTCCATAGGGGATTTGTAAAGGGTTCCAAGATTTCGAATACTTGTTTATCCCCCCACTCGACCACTCTCTTGAGCCTAATCATCCAGGCATCTTCCGAGATGAGCTCCGCGAGAAGGATCTTGTCGAAGAGTCTCGTTAAGTTCTGACAGTTTCTCGCTGACCTTTCTTGACAGGTGGCTAGCTTGGCGGGGTGGCTTTTTTGTGCAGACCTCTTCTTCCTCTTCGTTCTCTTCTGTTGTCGTTAGGTCGACTTCTATCACCTAAAGGTCGCGATTTGTCCAATTTTGCGGGTTAATGCTGAAGTTCTTGTCAATGCTGATTAGTTTTCCATCGTGGCTGCCTCCAGCTTGCGTGTGATGCTCGGTGGGGTAATTGACTGTCCTCCAATCAGCTGCCAGAAAGAGAGCAGTCGAGTATCCGCTTCTTTCTGTTGGTCCTCTGACAGTGCCCATTTCACTCTTGATTGTTGTCGTGTCTCATTTTCCGAATTGTTTCGGTTTTTCCTGCTTCCCCTGATTGTTTTTCTTGTTCTCTGCAGTGTTTCAGTGACTTCCTCCTTCTCTGACATTTCGTTCGATTTACTCAACGATCGGTTTCAGCGCGGATCCCTTAGGTTTTCCTCCCTGTCCTCGCTTCTCCAACTTTCCTGTGGTGTCTCCGACCACCAGTCGTGCGGTCTGTTTTGCTGCTCACTCATTTTGTTTGTTTTTTGATTTATTCTGAATTGTATAATTTTCTCTAGAATTTCTGCCGGCCGTTTACTGGGTTGAATATGAGAGAAAGTGTTTGTTTGCAGCAAATTCTTACTGTTTAGTTGTTTGGACGGTCGCGAAAGTTCATTTATCTCGTTCCGGTTAAGTTTCGTTCTTTTTTGACCGTTTTGGTTGCCATAGCATCCATGAGGTGATGAGTTTTGTACTTTTTTGTTCTAGAATGTCTTAGAACGTTTTCGTTCCGGTTGAGAGCGGAACGTTATTTTCTAGCCTACTGCTCATGCAGTCCAGAGCTTTATGAAAAGGATCGATTGCTATAACTACGAATTTTTTGTCTAACTCGGATTCGGGCCATGGATCACGTTGCAGTTGCCTTGACAAAAAGTCAACAATTCCCATGTCCTTCCCTGGAATGCGAACTATTTCGGACTGATAGGGCAATAACCTATCTAACCACCGGGTCAATCTAGATCGGTATGTAGTGTTTGATCTTTTTGTATCCAGGACTGACGACATGGTCAGTTGCAATGATAATTTAATGACCTAGAAGATAGTGTTTGCACCTGTCTACTGCTCAAACAACCGCAAGGAGTTCTAGTTCATGGAAAGAATATTTTGTGTTCTTGAGGTTTAGGTATCTAGATGCAAAAGAGATTGTAGCCCATTCCCCCTTGTTTGATTTTTTAAGGTGAACACCAAACCATTTTGACTTGCGTCACACTTAACTCTAGTAACTCCTTTTTGAATTATAATAAATTACTTCTGAGATATTTGCAACTGCGTTTTTGATACTCTCAAAGACGGTTGTATGCTTCTCCCCCCATTCAAATTTATTCAGTGGGAGTCTCAAATTTTTTAAAAGTTTATTTTCTTTCGGTGCTGGGTTTGGAATATATTCAGACACTTGATTTAAACTAGCTAGGAATGATCTCATTTTTTTAGTGATTTTGGAGGGCTGAGTTTCTGAATAGCCTTGTTGATCTTTGGATCTCTGATTAGGTCAATTTTTTGTTATCTTACTTCTTCTAGTTAGTTATGACCGTTTTGGTTCTTTTATTCTGTCTGTTACATATCAACTGGTTTGTTTGCTTGTACGGACAAGAATTTGAGTTCTTCTCACAAACCAAACTCTTCTTTACTAAATTACATTCTCAATCCGATGTATCCTAACCTTTTGTTATTTCACTCACCTGCTGTAATCTGCACAATTTTTTGAATTGATTCGATTAGTTGCAATTCTTACACGTTTTTCCCATGGCAGGGCTAAATTCCCAGTGGCCATTTTGAAATGTGCTTTTATCCACTTATGATTGTGTTTTTATAGCTGTTTTGTTTTTATTGATGTCTCTTTTGAAGAGTAGTTTCCTGTTCTCTCCGTTTTTACTTGTTACAGCCATTATTGGTTTTCATTTCGTTTTGATACCCAAGTTATGGGTCCTTGCTGTTACTGAAACGTCAACCTAGTTAGTTTTGCTGTGTTCGAATTTGATAGCCATTTTGAGCAACTCCTCTGGTGCAAGTGTTTCATCGTCCTGGATAGTTATCTTTTTCGTTTTTGAAAAGATAAATCACCGACAATTTCATCCTCCTGAGTTCCCATCTCAGATTTTTCTGCTTGTACAATTCGTGTTGCGTGAATTGCCTTTAAGATCTCTACCTGCTCTTGTGTTTTTCTGAAGAAGTTGCATCTTTAGCATGTTACACATTTTACTTTCTGAAATGAATCCGCTACTAGCTCGACGTTTCCTAAAATGACAGCAAGAACCTGTTTTGTAAGAACCAAGAAAGGATTAATCTGGTTACGCTTTTCTTTTGTACCTTTCTGTAGTAGATGTTGTGGCCAACTATTAGGCCTCTGGCTCTCTTTCTCCATTCTCAAGCACGATACTGTATCTGGCTAGTTTGTCTCTTAGTTCTCTCGCCGCTATGGCGTTCGCATCTTTCCCCATTTCTAAATTTTTTTGGTCTCGGCGTGGTTCTTCCATTATTTCTTTTAGGTCTTCAAGCATAATCTCTAGATTGACCTTTTCCTTCACCGTGACCGCCATTAGAAACTGTACTAACCAAGTTTTAAGTTGCCTCGGTGGATCTAAGCTCGCTGATGCCCAAATTACTGGTTTTCCCATGTCTGAGCGATTGTCTTGTGCTGACAACCCTGCCGACTGCGCCATGTGATACCCTACGCGACTGAATTGAGATAAAACTAATTTATAATTCCAAGGAATTAAGTTTTTCTGCTGTTTTTTGGCTATTTTCTCTAAGTCCTGCTGATATAAGCGTAGTTACTTGACAGACTGAGTTCTTCAGCTGCTAACCGAAAGTTTGCACTCCAGTAACCTTGGACAAGTTTCAATATAAGAAGACATAGGTA